TGATCTGCACAAGCTTGGAGACAGACACAATGTGTTCTTGAAAATCGACAAAGCGCTTTCCTAGGGGTCGTTTGAAGCTCTGGATCCACTTGTCGACGTCCCCCTCTCCTGATCCCTTTAGTCGGGCTTTGTGATCGTTCAGGGCTTCGGCAGGAACACTGTCGATCTTACGCTTGAGGTCACTCTCCCAAGTCTGCGGTGGTGTCCCGGATTGTGGACACGGAGCACTAGATTGCGAGGCAACCGGGAGCTGTGTTTTCAAAGCGGGTTTCGTGGGGGTAACGGGAAGTCCTGCGGCTTGTAACTGTTCACGGCGGCGATTGAGCTCTTCCGTAACTTGAAGAAACTTCTGAGATTGATCGACGCCTGCAGACACCGGCATGTTGTCAAACATGAGCTGAACGATCTTGTCAACCATCGGCTGAAACAGAGCTGCACAATCCGTGTTCTTGTTGGGAATGATTGTAGATGGATTAGCGGCCTGAAAGAGATGCGTAGCAACTGCATCGATGTCAACTTTGCGATCTCGAAGGTTCTTCGTCACTTGCGACATGAACACTGCTTCGGCAACCGTAGCAACTGGCACAACACTGAAAAACTTGCCATGACTCAATGCTCGAAGACGCCAATCTGAAACTCCATGAAACAGGAATTCCTGAACAGGAATGCTGAGTGGGTCTTTTCCTGCGATCCCTTTCTTCCGCGACCACGGGGTGGCTTCGATGGACTTACGAAAGGACAACCCATGAAGCACCGTTGAATCATAATGATCACGATCTGACGCCCATCCATTCGGTAGTGCAGGAACAAGACCAGGACCTTGATGACATGGCATGGGAGTAGACGGCGAAGATGAAGGTGCCGAAGAAAGAGGAGGCGGAGGTAGTGGAGGTGGCAGACTAGCAGGTGCAGACTTGGAGAGGTTGGGATCAGTCCAACTTCCCGAGCTATACGGCTGATAGCGGTGCTGACCCCACGATTGTTGGGACCTCCCGTACCCTGTGCTGGTGTCCCACTGCCCATTCCATGCCATGGTTTCAGATCTATCGACAAATCTGAGTGCGCGGAATCGCTAACGACACTTCGAATCAAAAGGCTCCGTAGGCAAACAAACCTGCTCAAGTTGCTGCCAAACTGCAACACTTGCACATCGCTTGCACAACTCTTGCATCACACTTGCAGTACACTTGCACGTCCCTTGCAACACACTTGCACGTCCCTTGCTGGCACAGCTCGCAATCTTAGCTGGCATGTTTTCGACACATGTATACGTGCAAAGCAGGTGACAACGGAAGAGGCTTGAGAACGTGGCCGGTCAAAGCAGCATGTTGCACTCAGACCCTCCAAAAAACAAGAAGCGCTTCCGGGATGAAACATGAAGAGCGAAAGCCCCATCTGCCATCTTTGGCACGGGCAACATCACGAATGTAGCTGCAGGAATGGTCACCTTCAACCCCTCCCATGGGGATTCTTGAGTGGGGAGGCGTGAGGGATCCTTGACGATTAAATGCATGTCCGAAAATGCACACCGGACGCTCACTCAGAATGCCACCGTACTTGGCCGCTGCCTCTTGTGCTTGTTCTGCATCTGAAGTGTGAGCCCTAGCATAGAAGGAAATTGGTGGGGACCACTTGCTGTCACTTGCATCCCACCAAGATGGTCGGATCGCTCCCTCAAGGAGGATTGATGCAGCCGCTGCCACTGTTGTGTTGTGTGCAACAGGAGAACGAGCAATCCCTGCTGCAGAAGTATGCGACCTGATCATGGTCCTCTCAAAGTGGGTGAAGTGGATGCTCAAGCACTTGCACGAACTCGACAAAGAACGAAGCTCCACAGAATGAATGTTTGCGGCTTGGTCAGCTGCTGCAATTGCCTGAGAGACATACTTCAATGCTGTCGAATTGACAGAGTGGGGAGGAAGACCTAACAGGCTGATCAGATAGTCCGCCGTGCTTTGCATCAAAGAGCTGGGAACCTGCAACTCAAGATTGGCCTGTATCTTTGTCGAAATCTCACATGCCGATTTCATACGGCCAGGGCTGGAACTGATCAAGTGACGTAGAGCAGTAAACATGGGGTATAATGCGACCCAATTGAAGCTAGATGAGTACACGCGTATCAGCTTCGCTTCTTCATCGCGCACTTCCAACCCACGAAGTTCAGGAATCACGAAGAAGTTTGAATCTTGCTCCCACTCAACTTCCACATGCCCTTTGAGAAGAGATCGATTCTCAAAATGCTCATACGAGTCTTGCAAGGGTCTAACTCGAAAGACGTAAGTCTGGTCCGCACTGAGCTGCCACCCTACGCGATCTGCATGAGTACCAGGAATCTGATCACAAATTGCACGAAGTCGAATGCTGTTAGGGTCTGCAACGAGAGAAACTTCGCTTCCAGGAACTTGCCGAAGTCGCTTTGTTGGCTGGGACGAATCATCCGTTTGGTACGTGATGGCTGACTGCTGGCTCTGACCAGATGCTATTGACTGATTCTGTTGAGAAACAACAGACTGCTGAATGTCAAGCAAATTGTTAAGGCCAGCATACACATCTCTGTGGCCTCGGACATGTGTCAAGTTTGCCGACATGATCGCTGAGTATTCAGCGAAATCAGCCACCGAACGAAACGACAACCGGAAACCTGTGCCGTCTGCATGAAGAGTGATTGCAGGAGGAACCTCTTGCTGTAGAACCTGCCGATCATTTACAGCACGTGCAGCAATCAAGGTAGGAGTTACATTTGTAGTTCCCGCTCCAACATTGGATGCAGAAGGGACCGGCAAAGAAGAAGATGAAGCAGGCGCCGGGCAAACTGCAAGAGTGGGGGGTGGAGGGGGGAAGGCGGGAGGGGGAAGGGGAGGGGGGGGTGGAATCCACTTCGCTGTGGTACCACGGGCGGGGGCAGGGGCAGAAGCGGGGAGGGGAGGGGGAGGCACAGGGAGAAGGGGAAAGGAGGAGGGTGGAGGGGGAGGAGGGGGAGGAGGGGGGGGGGTTGATGTGCGGGTACTGCGTCTCTTTCCTGAAGCATCCATGGCAAACTAATCAGCAACTACCCAGAAGTACAGCTCAGGTACTCAATTTGTAGCCAAAGACCTGCGACGAGTCAGCGAAAAAGTCAGATTCGGGAAAGTCGATTTGATCATAGACAGTCAATGGAAAAGTCAGCATTCAGGTTTCGGTAGAAGCATTCGGTGAAGACTCACTGAGAAAGTCAGCTTGCAAGCACGGATATAGAATCAGGGAAAGTCATCCAATGCTTATACAGTCAATCGGGAAAGTCAACACCAGAGCTGCCTCTGGGAGACACGGCGCCCATAGGGAATGCAGTTGTGAAGCACACTTGACACATCGTGTCGCAGGTCTGATCTGTCGGTGCATACTGTCAGGAAAAGTCAGCAACTCAAAGCAAGCCCTCACTCAAACACAGCTCTGAATCACACCTGAATGATCAGATTGCAGCAACCATGCAGGAAACTCGACAGTGGCAAACGTGAAGCTGTCACTCTAGTGTTGGTTACTCCAGTGCCTCAGGGGGCCCACTGGCTAATCCGAAAGCAGGTACACAGTGGTGATCAGCCACTGCATCCACTCCAGTGATTTGGCTTCGTTGGGCAAGGCTGATCACTGGAGCCCTTGCCCCCCTGCCTACTTCTCTCCCTTCGAAACAGGGTTGGACACACACACACACACACACACACACACACACACACACACGTGCATGTATACGCACAGACGGACACTCAAAGACACGGACGCACACACGGCCTGCATTGGCCTTCCAACTTCCAACATGCAAACTGCAGGATCCATAGCACGTTGGCGCTTAGGCGGACCTCGAAGGCTGTCCACGGCAGCCAGACGTCCTCGTTGAACGCTCAGCACTGCAAGAGGGTTCCAGGCCTAAGATGACCATCCCAAGGCTCGGCGGATCGCCGCGGCTCTGCGGCCTGGCGAACCCGCAGAGGCAAGCGAGCTCTGGCACGCATATCTAAAAGTGGCGGCGGAGTAGCAGCATGACTCCTCTGCGTTTAATTCAAGCAAGGCTCCACAGCCAAGCCTGAGCCTGGCGGAGCCACAAGAGGCCAAGGCAGCCAACGCATGCCGCGGCACCTCCTAACATTGCCTGATGCTCAGGTCCCCTACGCAGCCTCGAGCTTGCCTCCTGCAGAGCCGACACCGGTGCTGGACGTTGCTGAACAGCACGTTGATCGACAAGGAGGGCTGCGAACGGAGCAATGACAGCAAGAAAGACGCAGGACAGGCCGATTGTCTGCAGGACCTCCAGACTTGCCGGACAAAGTGCCGGCGAACAGGAGTGGCTGTGGCAGAGCTGTTATTGAGTAGTGGTGCACAGGCTATTCCGTTGCAACGAAGTGCAGGAGCAGTTCCAAAGACGGACTGCCAAGCGAGGACAGGGCGTACAGACTCTGAAGATTTGTGCGCAGTTCTTTTTGCAGGCTTGAGAGGGCGGTTCTGAGACTGGATGTTGGCAGATTCCGTGGAGCAGGAGGCGCAAAGGTCCAAGAAGGAGAAAAAACGTGAAAAGAAGGACAAGAAGGTGTGGGCGGCCTGGGTGTCGTTGCAAGCAGCTTCAGAGCGGCAACCTCAGTGTGTCCTGCGAAGCACCGAGTCAACCTTGGCGTCAGGACAAGAAGGCCAAAGGCGAAGATGGCTGCGTCGCCATGTGAAATGAACAAGGGTGCAGCATAGTCATAGACTTAGTCACTTAGTCCTTTTAGGAGAATTCCTGGTCCTGACCGAGCTGACAGGTAAGCCACGGTCGCTTGATTCGAAAATGGTTGCACGTCTGTCCTGGGACAGTTCTGTGGAGCAGCGAGGCGGCATCCTAAATTCCAGGCGGTGGATGCATCTCTGGTTCAGTTGCTGACACAGTGTCGATGCAAGTAGAAAGGAACTCCGCTGAGGAGTTTGATGTCAAGGAAGCTGAATTTAGCCAGAATCTCGCAGCCGTTAAGTAGCTCAAGCCGGGCTCGGGAGAAATGCCGCTCGGGCTCAAGTACAACACTCTCTCCAGGACCACGAAAAGTCCAGCCAGTCTTTTTATTTCTTGGCAAGACACGAACCCACAGTGTCCTTGGAGGAGTAGCCCATGCATCGTGGCTGCGCACAGCACCAGCCTCAACATTCTGGTCTGGCATTCTGCCCTCATTCTGGTTAAAGTCGGGGACAGGCTGACGACTCAGACATCAGAATCCTCTGAAGGAGTTCAGCGGCTGGAGAAGAATAGAATTCATGTTTCTGATCACTTCACTGCGTTCCGTCCGTCCGAAAAGCACGGAGGTGGGGAAAATAAGTTATTGTGGATGGCCTACTCTGTCCAGGCGAAGGGCATATAGGGCACAGGCTAACTGGGCTGCCTCATTGCATAGCGACAGCTGCTCTTCATTTTGGCTGCATTGGCTTCGTTGGCTGAGATCTCCGCGATTGGAGCCTGAAGTCTGTGCCTCGGAGCAGGGCCGAACCAGTAGCGCAAGCGTCATGTGGGCAAGTGCCCATTGGAGGACTGAGAATTCTTCTGATGACCAATCAGCAGTCTCCTCTGCGAGTGTAGTGTGCCGTCTGATGTGCCAATCATCGCACTGCTTTGTGTGCGACACATTGAGAGTCCGTGCCCCTAAGTCCTACCCCTACCGGGCCCTACCGGCCCTACCACTTCCGAGCCTCCGGTCCTCAGTCGTCGGCGCTTGGTTCCTGAGCAGACCGCCAGCTCACCGGTGCCTCGGCGGCCTTTCGGCCACTTTCGATGTTTGCAAAAACTTGCTCATAGCACAAGCGAAGCGTGACGAGACGAGTCGGCTGAGGACTTCTCGCACCTGGACCGCATTGACCTCATCGGAGGCAATGGCAGGCGGATTGCCCGATTTCGTGCGTGAAGAGGCTCATCGACCAACAGTGCCGAGTGATGAAACTCCTGCTAAGGTGGCGCCAGATACGCGCAGAAGAGGAGTTTGCACGGCGAGCAGTAGAAGAAGAGAAGCAGCCCGACTTGATATTCACAGGTCTAGACGCAGTTTCTGGCACCACTGTGGTAACGCCTTAAACCACGAGCGAATCCGTCATCAGACCTCAACTTCTGCTCAAGGCGTCTCCGAGCGCAGCAGGAGGAAGAGGAAAAGAGGCAAATTGCTGTAGAAGTCTTGAGTCCGAGATGCATATGCACTATGTGGCCGTACAAGGGCTTTTGCAGTGTTTTGTCGGTGTATAGAATGGTGGATACAAGAACAAGCAATATCACTTGACACACGTAGGACGAGGCAGTCTTCGGCCCTGCAGGCGCCAGCGGAAGCTCGCCCTTCAGGCAAAGCGCCGCCGTTTGCAGGAAGAGGACAGCACAGTGTGCTTTACAGCTTTTAGGGCTCTGGCGCATGCACGCGATCGGTCCAGGAAGAGAGGAGACGGAAAGAAGAGCGTGAACGCCAACGTTGATTGCTCAGCCTGCCATTTCCACCAGCCCATGGGAGGGGTGTGCGATCTGGGAGCAGCTCACGACCCGTGAAGCGCTGAGATCAAGAGACGGTCCGGATCGAGGAACTAAAACGGATCGAGGAGGAGCGTGAGAGGCCCGAACATCTGTAGAATTGCAGACTATCTTTGACTTCGTGCTGACCTGGAGTGGTTGTGACGGACCCTGACAAACAGGCACCGCAAAGAGCAGGAGGCCAGCCAGTGCCATCAACGCAGTCGACCTGACGTGTCAGAACTTCTTTTCAGTCTTGTCGTGGCAGCCATGCTTACCTTGCATCAAGCCAGACAGACAGAAAGAGCTTAGCCCAGATTTGATTAGGCAAGCTATGAACAGACCGGGGCGTGCGGCAGCTGGAATGGCTAGTACACAGACAGTACCAAGCTGTTCCGGCGGTTTATCATCTGTCACGTATCAGGAGAAGGATTGGCTGGCCAGGCAGCCCAAGCCATGCCAGGTTTGCTCAGGCACCTGGACATGCAATTGCATCATGTCATGACTAAGCCACTTCCGGGTCAGGCACAGGGAAATGCATACAATGCGTGGGCATCGGCCACAATCCCGTGCTGTACCTGGCGGCCTGAAGCCAAGCATACCTTTCCACAAGTCGATCTCAAAACTTCTGACCTTCGCACAGGCTAATGTGACGGGAAAAAACACGAAGGGAGACTATGGCCGGCGACTACAAGGCCGTTGAATCTGCAAAGTTTCTTTAAAGTCGTGGTTGTAATTCCGGCGCGGTGGTCGGGCATTTCCCTTATTTGACATGCCACAGCCAAGAATTCTCGCACTTCGCCTTCTGATCGCTGGCAGGCTGTGATGGCTGCTTCGGGTTCAAGCAGAACATGATGGCTGATCTGAAGAAGGGCACTGGTCGTTGTCCAAGCTGCGATGGCCCGTGCCCTAATGCTGGACACTTCGCGGCAGATGTCTTGTGCGGTTGATCCGACCGTAGATAGGTTGGACATCTTTGCAGCCACCATTGTTCAAGATCATGCATCGATCAAACTAGTGCAACATAACGTTGGGTTGAGAAGGTTTCACTGAGGGCATGAAGAACGTCGGAGTTTTTGACTTTATCCCGGAAGACTGCTAGCCACAGGCTGGGGCAAGATCAGACCAGACATAGACCTCACCTCGCCGACCGTCGTCGCCTCACAGTGAAGATCTTCCCAGCTTTGTCATACAGCTCGAGCTCGTGACTGAGGGCCGAACGAAGAGGAACAGCGTCTGTGCTGCACCCACCGGACCGGAGCTTATCTATGACTACAGGGCAGGTGTGTGTGCTTTGCTGCTATCGACCTGGTGCTGACGCGGCGTCAAGATGCAATCCCAAGCGAGGCTTTTTCTCTATCGGCTGAGACAAGAATCTCACTCCACCGTCTACTGTTTGTTCCGCACGCAACTGTAGTAGTCTTTTGTAGGACGCAGCTTAACGGGCTTACTTTGTCTAATCAGGACAGCTTGCAAAACGATACCCTGTGATTCTAGAAGCTCCAAAATGCAGGCTCGCATATTTTCGGGATGTCGCAGACTTTGTTCCCGCATGTGCCCAAAGGGCCGTTTCACCGATGGAGCAGCCAGTGCTGAAATGCAGTGTGGCCCATGAAACTGGACCCGAACCATTGCTGACAGTGAAGGGCGGCTCCTAGAAATGATACTGCTGGCGAAGCGCTCAAGTTTAGCTGCTGCGCCATCCATGTCTGCACATGCAAGCTGCTGATGCATCAGGCTTTGATAGGGACGTCGGGCAACTCCGTCATGCAGGACCACCGTAGACGGCCCAAGCAATGGAGCCCGCATGGCATCAGGATGCATCAGGGCAACAGCAGCGGATGTCCTTGCGATGGGAAGAGTTCACGGCGGTAGTTAGTTTGCAGATGGGAGACGAGGATCCAAGAAAGATACCGAAAATCACAAGCAAGCAGCCCATGCAGCACATTGTAGGGACACTGCCCAGCCATGTGCAATTGAACATGAGAGGTTTGCGTGGTTAGTGCAATGCCTTCATGTGCAAGTAGCTAGCAGCAACGGGAACCATGCTTCTTCCCGGTCCGACTCACGTTGCCCCTCCCATGCCCGTGATCTTGCGAAGGCTGGTCCCAGAGCAGCCGGAATTGTGTATCACGTGATGCTTCTTCCTGCAGAAGCATGGGTTGTTCGGCAACAACAGGTTAAGTCTGTGTCAATGGGCCAGAGGCGGCTCAAGCAAAGCCAGCCTACTGCGTAGAAGTGGTCAGCGGAAGAGACCCTTACCGACCCAAAGCACCATTCGCGACTACCACAATGAACATGCCCCGCAGCCAGCATCTTGAGTGACACGTTCAACATGCACGCGCAGTGTAGCGCAGCAAACATCGTATCAAAGCGTCATTTTAGAGGCGCAGTCAAGCTCATCCCTTCAAGTCTTGCGTACTTGACGGACATTGAGTGTGACAGTGGTGACTGTCCTTCGAACATGGCTGACTCCGGGTCGCACGACCTCGCACTGCTGCGAAGAGTGGTCGTCGAGGTGGTTGAGAAGGTCGGTCTTATATGGGTCTTATCTGGCAACAAGACACGGCATAGAAAAACCAAACCCCTGCTAAAGTGCTTACGTGTTTTACTCTCTGCTGTAGTGTAGTGCAGTTCCGGCTGTGCACCACACTGCATAATGGGTCTTCAGTGCAGCTTTCCTCTGCTCAAGGTGTCCTTTTCTCGCACTTTCGTTGGACCTTCCTCTCACGAGGCCTGCCACCTTACGTCGAAGATCCAGAAGAATATTCTGCATGAGGAGGTCCTGAAAAAGGAAGACTTCTCCCCAGCTTCTTGACTCCACAAGAGAGGTGTTGGCGGGGCGACAGGTTATCTAAGCAAAGGTGTGGCAATTGCGGAGCTGAAGGTGAACTTGAGCACTAAACTGATGTTCCCGGCAGTGCCCATTATCGACCAGGTCACCATTGCAGATTTTGCTTCCCAAGCTCTCGTCGGGCACATCCTCCATCAAGCCTTTCCGCATATCCCCATGGTTGGCGAAGAGGTGCAGTGTCTGTCAGAGCTTCTTGTTGCGACGTCTTGTAGCAACTTCCGAAGCCCCAAGACGCCTGCAATTCGAGGACGCGTCAGCTCTTCGTGCTGACCCGAAGCTGGCGACAAAGGCTTGACGAGTCAGGTTTGATCCTAGCGGTCCTAGCGACTTAAAGAAGTCCGACACTTGCAGTATTCTATAGTATAGACTTGGAACGGTGACAAGAGCGAAGTGTCTGTGACGAACATGCACACAGATACAGCACAAGAGAGTCGTGCAAGCCTGATCAAGGTGTCAGACCATGTGAAAGAGTTCATTGCAGACATCTCCTTGGAAGAGGTCCTTGGTGCCCTTGACCGTGGAAATCATCCAGGGGGTGAAGGTACCTTTTGGGTATTGGATCCCATTGATGGCACAAAGGGCTTCTTGAGAAAAGAGCAGTTTGCGGTTTGTCTGTGCCTTATAGAGAACGGTGAAGTCCTGGTGGCGGCTTTGGGCTGTCCTAACCTTCCAGTAGACTCAGCCTTGCCAGACGGTGAGAAGGGCTGCGTTTTCATTGGGGTTAAAGGGCAAGGAGCAGCCCAGATGGACATTTCCACAAAAAAGGAGTTCCCCATCTGCGTGTCCAGTAGCTCGGATGCGTCGAAGGCGACGTATGTGGAATCGCTTGAGTCAGGGCACTCCAGCCACGGACGTCACGCCGAAATTGCCAGTGCTCTTGGGATGGGGGCACCTCTTCGCATGGATAGCCAGTGCAAGTTTGGCGTGGTGGCCAGAGGGCAGGCGAGTCTTTATCTGCGCATCTCGAAGACACCGCAGTACATTTGGGACATTGCCGCGGGCGCGATGATCGTCGAAGAGGCAGGTGGCCGTGTGACGGACTTGACCGGCCAGCCCCTACAGTTCTCCCTCGGAAGGACGGTGGGGGTGGCAGCTCTCTTTGCCAGCAATGGTCTTATCCATGACCAGGTCTTAGCCGCCTGCGCACCGGCTGAGGACTCTAGCCACTCGTGCTTCGTCTAAAAGTTTAATTCAAGCATGCATGTCATCTTTTTGCAGATCAGAAGACGGTGCAGGCGACTGAACGTCATCAAACACCAGCTGTAGACGTGTAGGTTTGCTTTTTGGAAAACCCATGCGCTGCAACCGTCTGTAAGCGGGTACATCCACGGTCGGGTTGCGCAGGCAACCTTGACTTGGGAGTTGTCTGCACCGCGGAACGTTTTGAACCATGGCGGTTCGACTTCAAAAGCTCGGCCCGGGTGATCAACGCCACTAGATCCAGGCATGCACCGCACAAAGTTGCTCTGGCGCTAGCTTTTCAAGGGGGATCAATCATCGCATCCGCTGCTTTACGCAAGTGGTGGAGGCGACATCTCATCCATGCGGAATGCTCTACAAAACACCATTCACCAGCCATTCTTTGCTCTGGGCCTTGATCCCTCCATCTCCCCCGGCCGTGCTGTGGTTGTCACGGGACTTCCCATGGCTTGTTACCTGGATCCCCAAGCCATTCAATCATGTTCAGTCCACAGGAGTTTGAATCATAGTAATTACATCAGCACTCCAGCTCAGATGCGTTTGATAGCAGAGATCAAGCCAGCCTTTGTTGGTAGATGACGCGCGCTTGATGCACCAGACGCCCGCCCAGTCAGTCAGGAAGCCCCCTTTGCCGTGAAGATACTATGATGTCGTTGCTAGGATTCTGGATGATGGATCCAGGGTCCAGCAAAGCTTGCGGCTGACTGGAGCGGGGGCACCAGACAGGAATCTCGAAGACTTTATCGTCTCACGCTGCTTGCAAAAGGCGTCGAATTGATTCCGTGATGTTCCTTCTGAAGCTAAACGTCTTTGAATGTACCTTGTTGGAAGCTCCGTTGTTTTCACGGCAGGCTCCCACACTGCCGGTCGCTGCCCCTGGCGCTGCCACTGGCTTCCGGCCCGAGGGTGGGGGAAGCAACCACTGGATCCACTGGTAAGGAAGCTATGATGCCGACTTCAGGTGATATCCCGCATCTGGTGTCTGAACGGGTGAGGGACTTCTCAGCATGTGCATACCATCCTCTGCAGTCCGTGATGAAGTGTCCAGCCCAGGAGAAGTGAGATGTTCCAGCCAGCACAGTAGAAGTGTTGTCTGCACGCCGATGCCACAGCAAGCATCAGCCCCCAGGCCTCAGACCTCACACCTTATGTCAAAATCCTCCTGCCTTCAATCGCGGGAACCCAGTTCAGCTCATGTTGAGCAACTTGCCGGAGTCAAACTACGACAGTTTCTGTCGAAGCTAGCATCCAGTGTACATGTAAGAACTGCGCGAGCAGAGGAATTGCTTTCGGGCTTTGTTGCTCCTTCACATTGCCAGCTTTGTTCTTGAGATGTTCGCTTGATTCGCCCTTCTAGTCGGTGGCAAGGGCTTGGGCCTTGAACATGAAAGGACTGGCAATTGCAGTGCGTGCATCAGCGGTGCTGCGCCATGCCAGGCAAAGCAAAGGGTTGCGATTGTGCCATTCGTGATCTTGCGAAGAAAATGTGCATGGTCAGGAACACTGGCAGATACCTCAACGTCAATGACGGCGTTGCGGGCTGCTGCGAGCTTTGCAGCCTGATACCCTGAAATTTCAAATCTGAGTCTGATGTCCCTGAAGCAGTCTTGTCGATTTAGGCCTGGACCGGGACTTGACCATCCATCACCTCATCCCAAAGGTGCATTGGAAGCATGGAGCCTACGGAGCATGGAGCCTCCAACCTCCTGTGCAGCCATGCTTTCTGTGTGTGTGTGTGTGTCAGCGAGGCGAATGAAGAAGCGACGGCAAGTTTCCGGTAAGGATGAGCAGCGGCCTCTCATTGAAGTGGCAGGCTGACGCAGTCACATGTCGGCTCTGCCTGTGCTGACGAGGCCTCCGACGGCTATTCTGTGCAGGCTGCGACGGAGATACAGATAAAAGAAAGTGCAGGGTTCGGTTTGCCGATGCAGGACTTGCCACAGCAAAGTACACCGCACCTTCACGCACAGCGAGCTGGGGCGCAACTACAACACTGTCGAGGCCTCCGAGCTGAGACTTGCATAAAAGTGTTTGGTGAGCAGCCTACGTATCAGATGCAGCTTCCCCAGCCTCGAATCAAATTGCCGCAAGGCTGTGCAAAGCCTATCCCATCGTTCTTGAGACAAAGCTAGCTATCTGTCGGATCTATGCATTCCCATCTTTCGAGCTTGCAGTGCTGGAAGCGGCAGCGACCCTGAAGACAAGCCACGGACAAACCACGGCGAATTGATTCGAAGGCACTCGAAGAGGCTCCAGACTTGCAAGAGTACCTGGAGCCGATGCCTTGACATCCGTCAAGTTCTCATGTTTCTATCAATGTGGGGTGAAGTGTTCGAGTGCTGGTGCTCTGCGCAGACCAGGTGAACGTGGCTTTAGAGGCTTTTGCGGCCAATTTGCGTTTGTGGCAAGAGCAGAGAGGGAAGAACACGCAGTCCGCATTGGAAGTCGGCGTAGCACAATGCATGCTCGGAATTGTCTGGAGGCCTTCATGCGATACAGACACGTCAGTCCGACTGTGACCAAAATCGCATCGACGCATGTCAACACATCCAGTCTCACCGTCTCTGGACCTCCGTCTTGCTCCGGTGGGGAGCGCCTCTCTTTCGTTTCAACAGAGTTGCTTTGAGACCCCTTTGACAGTTAGCAGCTCACACTTAGCCGGCCATACGAAGGCTTTTTTGTTGCTAAGAAATCGCCAGACAACCTCCTCATATATTCTCCATAGCCAAAGCCATAGTCTGCAAACCGCAAGCCTCAGCATGCCCCTGTCCGTGTGTGTGTGTGTGTGGCAGGGATGGAGCAGGTTTGAACGGGATATACGGATATACCTCGTGATAGCTGTCAGTTGCAGTCCTCAATCAGGTCTCGTCGACCCTGGGGCCATGCCCAAGCTGCAGGCAGCGCTTGGAGTGCGCGAGGTGTGAAGGCTGAAGTTCCTGCCGACGTTCGTAGCGAAGTGCTGCAGGCAGCAAGACGAGTGACTTCTAACGCGGGGATCTTCGACTGACCAGGTTTCTTCAATGAAGGCAGTCGAGTGCCTTCGACGTGGCCCGGTTTCACTTCTCCCGTCCCCTTAGAAAGGCACCGGCCGGCCGCAAGTTGACAAGCCCTCGGAGGCGCAGAAGCCTTGAGTCGCTGTCCCTGTAGTAGCAACCTCACATCTAAGTCTCAAGCATGCTGCGCACCTTCGAGGCTGTCCCTCCGACTCGAAGGCCGTCATGCTGATGCTGGTGAGCCCGTGCAATCCCGGAATCGTTACAGATCTTGGTACGACGGGCGTGCGAGATGCCCTAGAAGTTGAGGCAGCAGACATCCGGATTGAGTGAGTCACCATTCTCTGCACAGACAGAAACAGCATATAGCAACATCCGCTTTATACCAAGTACAATAGTCTAGTGAGGCCCCGTAGATGCCGCAACAATTTGAGAGAAGCATTGCTTTGCACTTCCACTGGGTCCACCGATCGTGGTATTTTCACGCACTCCCATCTGGCTGGAGTCTGTGTGAGTCCGTCCAAAGGGGCAAAGAGCTCGTGCAGAAGGGAAACCAGGCTGGCTTCCAAGAAATCGATGCCTGGCATGAATGCCAGTTAGAGCCCGCGTTCCCCTCAGCGTCAGAGTTCCTGAGCTTTGCCCAGGCAGCTCTGACGTAGCTCGCCGGAAGATGGCACTGACCTGCAGACATGGTGGACGGAAAGAGAAGACAGAAGCGAAGAAGAGTCCAGAGTCTAGAAGCTGGTAGTCCTGGTAGTGGTAACCTGGTATTCGGTGTTCCCTGCAACTGCGGCTCCGCCTCCGGCTTCTTGGGCTTGTCAGCGTCGTTTGTTCAAAGGGGGGACGCCCAAGCGCCCGAGCATGGCGGAGTCCACCCACGATCACCTCTTCAAGCTGCTCATCATCGGCGACTCGGGAGTTGGGAAGTCCTCCATCCTGCTCCGCTTCTGTGGCTCCGGCTCAGTTGCACTCGTTTGCTCATGTTTGCTCTATGCTCCGTAGTAAAGCTCCCGCAGGCGACGATGAGTTCAACGAGAAGCAGGCGTCCACCATTGGCCTGCGCCCTGGTTTGGGCAAAGAATGGGTGTGGCTGGGTAACCTGCTTCCATCTCCAGAAAGAACCTGGCTGAGGCGTCGATTTCAAGACCAAGTTCTTACAAGTCAGGGGCAAGAAGCTCAAGCTTGCGCTTTGGGTCCTGACCTTAGCACGCTGATTTGTGGAAGGACGGTGAGGTCATGGAAGCCAAGGACACTGCAGGGCAGGAGCGCTTCCGAACCCTCACTTCCTCGTGCCCCTGGCCATGCCTTGCAAATGAAGATCCTTGCGGTGAACCCTTTTGGGACCTGGAGGTACTATCGAGGAGCCCAGGGAATCATCCTTTGCACTTCGGTGGAAGAAAAGAGGAAGAGGGACCTATCGACTCGTCGGGTCTTTTTGGAGACTTTTGACCGAGGCTACGACTGCACCCAACGGAGTAGCTTCGAGCACGTGAAGTTCTGGCAGGACGAGGTCAGGAAGTGCTTCGACTCGGCAAGGGGAAGCGACACCGAGGAATGTTCTTGCGAGCCCGGCGGCAGCTTAGGTACTCCACCAACCAGGACGCCATCTTAATGCTCGTCTCAAACAAGGCTTTTTGGGGCGAAAAAACTCGCGAGTCTGTTGTCTATTCCTGACCAGTGACAGGTCGACCTGGCTGACCAGCAGGTAACCCGAACTGAGGGCGAGGAGCCTAGGGCCTAGAGTCCTAGAGCAAGGGCTCGGAACTCCAAGGGCGTCCACAGAATGGAAACTCTGCATCTGACTGGTGCTTACATGCTCTGCACGTGCAGGAGTTCGCATTTGCCAACTCGATGATGTTCATTGAGACTAGCGCTAAAACCAGGCCAGTGCAGATTCATGTTCAGCGCAAGCAGCGACCTTCGAGCATGAGCTGCGAGTCGATTTCGAAGCGTTTTTGGCTGGAGCCGTGCATAAGCCAAGGGCGGCAGCATAGGTGTTCATGCAACATGCACCAACGCAAGTTCTTTGCTTCACAGACAGAAGAAAAAAGTCGTTTCATGCTGGCTCGACGGGCACTGGTGAGTGCAATGGCCACAGCCTCTTGGCAGAAGACAGTAAGAGTCGATGGATGGTTTGAGACAGAGGCCGTCCATGTCCGCGTGTCAAGCTTCTATGACTTTCTGTTGCGGGCATCTGGCAGGGCTCTTCTTCCTCTGTTCTTCCAAAGAATCAGGTCCTGGCGCTCTTGGCGAAGCCTCCGGCCATCTGCCATCCTCGCGTGTTCCCCGCTGTCCGGCGTTTCGGAGGCTCCGGAGGCTCCTGGGCCTGGGCAGAACTTTTTGGCATTGCGGCATGGCGGGCGCCTCTCAGGAAAGCCTGCGGAAAGGGCCCCAATCTTCCTGGTACGCCACGGACAGTCCACCTGGAACCTTGCAGCCAAACGACTCGACCTTTGGACGATGTTCCGCCAGGTGCCCACCACAGTCCGACCGTCTGACAGTACTTGCTGCAGCAACTCAAGCTATCAGCTATCCCAGCCGAGGTGGACCATGCCTTGACTGCCGAGGGTGTCGAACAGGACGATGCGCCAAACATTGAGACATGCAAGACCAGACCTCCGTCCTATACGAGCCGGGTAGGTTTCAAGGCTGTCGCACGGAGACGCGGAAGAAGCTTCACAGACGTGCAGAAACTAACATAGGCCATAGGCAAACTTCCCGTGCCCCTGAGCCCCTGAGTGTCCCAAAAGCGCAGCCGCAGCAGTCGCAGGCTTCCAGGCTGAGGTCCTCAACACAAACTGCCCGACGTAATGGAGACATTGATGCAGCTGGAGCCTCAGATGGAAACTTGACGACGAATGGCTGCTTAGAGAAGGCATAGACTCTGTAGAGCTTTCTTCATGGCTTTGCTTTGGTCGCACGTGTGGTTGCCTCGTTTGAAATGCTTGACATCGTGATGTCCGGAGGGTTCTCGCATGTGCTCATGTTCGCGATTTGTTGTTACACATGCCCCACTTCTTCGGCACTTGTGCCGGGCTTTAGTTTTACACGGGGCGTTCAGTGGCAGTCCAAGTTCGATGATGAGTATTACCAGATACTATCAGTCAGCAGTTTCAAGCAAGCATAAGAGCTGACACAAGCGGCTGCCCAAGGAGCAGTTTCTGTCTCCCCAAAGCCTGGTCTTTGCATCGCCGCTGTCCCGTGCTGTGGCCACAAGCATCGTGGCGCTGGGCTTGGAGAGGACTCCACAGGGTATGCATTCGGGCATTGGTGCAAAATTGCCGGTGTCTGTGCCCGACACCGACAGCTTTCAGGAAGTTGAGAAGAGCTGCGAGTTTCGAGGCGAATTCATCGTCTAGGAGGGCTTCAAGACAAGTGCCCAAACGACATGTGCTGAATCGGCAGGAAGATCACTCTGTTACCGGACGCGAGGGAGCTGGCATATCCGTGGTGCGGGCCGGATTCGATCGGCGCAGCTACTGGGGGCGACATCGCCGAGAGGGCGCTTCAAGATCTTTCTAAGGCACGTGATGAAGAACCAAAACAGCGCATTCCGACTAATCCTACATAAGCCCGAGCTCAGAGACCTGTCGGCTGTTGGCAGCAGGTGGATTCTGCATATTCCCAACCACCGATGGCCGAGTCTCGGCTAGTAGTGATGAGCACCTTTCTTGCAGTGCTTTATCGCAGATTGAGCAGAAGACAAAGTTTGTCCCGCGTGCTGAAGACGAGGAGGAGGCAGTGAAGATGATTGACGCATCGGCAGCCACTGGCATTTGGTGGAGCCGCTTCCGGGAGTCCAAGGGCCAGATGCAGCAGAGGCTGGGCAGAAGACTTGCTTGCACAGCGGCACAGCGGCTTCAGATTCAGCGTTCAGGCTCCAAAGCTTGTTGAGCAGACTTCGGCCCGTGACTGGGACTTGAAGCTGAAGCGAAGCGACGAAGCTGCACGGTGCCGAGCCCTGTGAGCTGCAGTGCTTAGGCCGACAGTCCTTCACCGGCCAGTATATTGGTGTGCCACAGCTTGTTGATTCAGCGTCTTTTCAAAGACTTTGCATCACTGCAGATGGAGGCGGATCCATGCTCAGCAATCAAGTTTAAGAGTTGCGCCATCTCTCCTTACCCACACCGTGGTGCACCTGCTGAACCAGCGACGGGGCACGAGCTGAGGACATGCCAGAATTGCTCTCGCAGCTGCGGGCAAGTAAACTGCAGAACTGCGGTGCCTTCGTCACCATTGAAGTCGGGTCCTAGGAATGCGGATTTGCACTAGCGTTTGAGCATCTTCGCTGGTGCCGGCAGGCGTGGTGAAAGTCTTGCTCGACGACAACAGATTAATAAGCAGTGCCCAGCTCGTGTTTGACACCAAGCTCGTGTAGCTCAAGTCGCAGAACTTGCATCACGTCTTGAGCCGCGTCGCTCCCATGTGGCACAGTTACGGTATTCACCGGTGCTCGACGGCACCGCCATATTGACGTGCCAAGACGAAGCCAGCTTCAAGGACCTGCAGCGACTGTTGACTGCAAACGGCCTCCAACTTCCGAAGCACTTCAGTGCAGCTTCTGGCATCTGCCCGAAACGCTCTGTGAGAAGCGGATGGAAGGGATCATTCTGCTGCCACGATGTGTCTCCGACAGCGTCCTTCGGCCTTCCACCCCTGGACCTGCAATGGCAGCGGCTGCAGCTGTGGAAAAGTGTTGCGTTTTGGCACGTCTTGGCCATTGCAGGGATGCAGCTCTGCTAGAGCTTTCGATTCAGCATGAGCGTCTGTGCCTGCGAGCGTGATTCGGTTCTGTCGCAGGCAAGGGATCAAAACTGCTTTTGAAGAAGTGGTCTTCAAAATCCTGGACACGCCATCGCTCTTGCAGAGCCGCTTTGCTGCCTTCAGGGTGCAGCGTTTGGATTTCCACACGGCTGGGCATCACAGATCGGCACAGCCCGATAGCAGAAACTGTTCATGTTGCCGAGAAGCACAGCGTAGTGTAGAATGTACTGTGCAGGGGTCGCGGGAATCGCAAGATGTGTGAGCCCGCTTGGCCGAGGCACACAGCCCCTGGGGACTCGCCAGGTGGATGCGCAGAACCATCGCCAGGCCGCCGGGGAGTGGCTGCCTTCCACCACACATGGGCGCTCTGAAGGTTGGAGGCATAGAGTCCCAGCTCTTCAGAAGACTCTAAGACATGGTGCCAGCTTGCAACACCCTTCTCCATGAGACTGGGCAGGCGTCGCAAGAAGGATGTGCCTGCTGATGTCTTCCACTGGAAGGTCCAGGCGACCGAGCAAAATAGAAAACACACCAAGTGCATACCCGACGACTTTAACTGCGACCAGAGCAGTGGGGATCGACCTTGTGTAGCCCTTAGACTTGAAGATACAAAGCTTTCTCTGCAACGATAGGTCCATGGGCATGGGATAGCAGCTACAAGCACCTCGTGCCTTACTTGTGGACCTTCCATCAGCCGTAGCGTAGGGCCGAAGACCGCTTGCGTGGCCATGGTGCCTCTGAGCATGTGAAATCGTATCGTTCAAAGCAATCTCAAGCTCCTTACCCAATCTTGTACATTGACATGTTCAGCTGGATCTCCGAATGCGAAGCGAAGGAATGCCCAGGCACCACGGCTTTTTTGCCGCTGCCCGAAATTGCCGGCTGCGCAGAGGGTGGCAGGGTGGCCGAAGTGCCGCGTTCCATAGTCTCACCCATTAGGGCGCTGCACTTTAGATCGGAGGCGACAGCCACTGTAGATCCCACCACCCAGATTTTCGATTGCCAGCCCCTAGTAAGACTTCGATCCGAAGCCTCAAAGCGCTAAAGCAGCCGTGTGCTCACTCGGTACAGCCCTCGTTAGCGACCACAGTGCTGCGAGCATGCACCAAGAAAAGGAGTTCAACGGCCGGCATCTCTCACTACCCTTAAATACCCAACACACCTGTCACACGCAGCGAGATACGGCATTTGCTGACCATTTCGCCTGCGGTGCCGCTACACAAGTACCGGATCTGAGATGGAAGATACACGCCTAGCTTCGAACCAGCGGCCAGGACAGTGGTGTATGCGCAATGAGTAGTGCGACATCGTTGGCCTACAATGCCCAAGTCTTTCAATTGCACCGATCTTGGCAAAGATGCCACGCCGCCATGGCATGCGCACGGAAAGGGATACTGGCTGCAGTGCTGCTATGTATTTCAGGACTTCGGCGGTCGCAGAACTAGTCGTCACAGATGAAGTGCAGCAAGTTTCTGCCAGGAGTCGTGTCAGAACGAGCGGCAGTTATCTCACTGGCCACAAACGACTACTACGCCAGGTCCTGAGAGAAGCTGTCCGTTGGTTACTACCAGGGCCTCTGCTAGCGGAGACGTAGGCAGAGGCACCTAGACTTGTAGTGAACTCATGGTGCTGAGAAGATCCGAAAGAACTGGCCCGCCTGCTTGACTGCACAGACGCACCGTCAAGGCCAAGGGAGCACTGGTGGCACTCCATTCTGCGGGGCTTCACGCAGGTTTCGGAAAGGGTAGAATCCACGACAGGAGATGGCAGAACCCGACCCTGCAGGTGTGGCGATCGACCGTGTGCTGATGGTCCCCGAGCAGTCTCGGCTCAGCGACGTCTGGCGGCGGCGCTTCGTCGCTCTAGGGATCAAGGCCTGCAGCGAGCGGACAATGGGTTTGCCTCTCAATTGCAACTTGACCCAGGTAGTAAACGTGCCCGCAGTGGTCCCCAGCAACGCCCTGTTGACAGCAATGGCGTCCGAGCGAAGGGAGCTCGACAAGCGACCTGGATCATTCTGAAGAATCAGGCGTGGTCACAGCTTTACATTGTACGTTTTGCCATGGCTGGGTAGAGGTGCGGAGATACATGTGTGCCCACAACCGAAAGTCAGGAGCATTCGACATGGATGTCACGGGGTCATGTAGGCGGGTGAGCAGCTGTTTTCTTCTCTCGCTTAGATAGGCTTGGGGCTTGTGGCTTTCAGGGTTTGTTTGGCTCTTGCTTGTTGAGAACACATGCCAAGCTCGTGCTGACCTGAGCCTAGGCAAGGCCTTTTGGACATACTCCAACCCCTTTCCTACGGCGGCGCCTTTGCCAAGGCTTGACAAGGGGGCCTCGAAACTGCACGTGCGCACACAGATGGCGTTTTGAAGCTTGCGACTGCCTGACATGATTTTTCTTCCACATGACATAACTCACAATGTCATATCCTGCACACCGACGGGGTTTTAGAAGCGGCTTGCGGTACTTCGGCAAAACGTCACCGCAGGTTCCGGAGCAGGCACCCGGTGCAAGGAAGACTGTCGCATAGGTATCCACGCTTGTTGAGATGCCGCCCCGGACACGAGACTGTATGCGCACGGCATAGCTCAAGTCATGAGGGAAGCGAATGACAGAGCATGCACCCGACTTGCCTTGCTGATACTCTGCACGCGGATGCGAAGCCTGGCAGCAGTTCATCTAGGTCAGTGTGTTCGGTCGCACTTGTTGACAAGGTGCATGCATGGGACGAGCAGCTGGGATATGAGCAACTTGGAGCTCTCAAAGAAACACAGACAGAATTGCTTGGAGACAAAGACTAGGTCAGTGTCGACGCATGCACGTGATTGGTCAGCAATGCTGCACTCGGCGTGCATCGGGCTTTCCTGGCTAATCTTTCCACAAGCCGAACGCACTGGGTAGCATGTGGATGAGTCTGACTCGACTCTGACGTGCATGGTGCACGGATTCCTTTCAAGGAAAGTGATCCTGCTGGATGGCGACGTGTTGATCAAGGGGAATCTGCTTGGCCTCTTGAAGCTTGGCAGCTTGGACATCCCATGCTGTGAGCGCTTCGCAGAAATTGGCTCTCCCTGTACTGCTCTTGAAGCCCTGTGCCACAAGGGCGTGAAGAAGCAGCCCTTCCCTCTCTCTCTCTCTCTCTCTCTCTCTGAGACCCCTCTCCCTGCCGCCCTCCTCCTCTCCGAGGAAGCAGCAGCCTATCAGCGCATCGAAGGAGCCTCCACTGTCACCTGCCGCCCCTGCCCATCACCTTTTAAGAAGAGATGCCACTCCAATGCAGCAAAAGCTGTCCGGCACCGGTAGGACTTGGCAGATGCCTTCAACTACGGCGTCGTCGTGCTGAAGCCTGATGCCACAATCCACAGAGATCTGGTTCGTTTGCTTATGGAGGCCACCGAGGAGGACTTGCGACGGTACAACACAAGGAGCATGGCGTTTGCCGGTGTTTACTTTCTACGCTCCTGGACAGTCCGCATACGAGGACAGCAAAGGCAGTCGGACTCTGTGACCAGACTCTGGTGGCTGGGAAACTTGGCGGCTTGCAAGAGTTTTTTTGGCAGGCCCGTGGCCACGCAGTGCTCCTGAGTCATGGCGATCTCGACTGCCCAGTGTGTCCAAGGCGATTAGCAGAGCTGTACAAAATCAATTTCTTCGAGGCACCTTGAGCCACTGCAGTGGGGCAATGTTCGAATCCGCAAGATGGAAGGACATGCGAAAGTCATCGCGGCAAAACCCGCAAAAATGGCTGATGTCTACCGAGTACAACCTTGTCGTCTCGTACCGGGCCAAAGAGCGTTGCGACCTGCCCGGCGAACGGAAGAGGGTTCACAAGGCACCCTCGTTCGCGTGCTCACTTACATCTGTTCACGCACCACAGCGGCCCAGCTTGGAACTTGGAACGAAGGCGAGAATCATCCACTTCGCGAACAACTGGCTGAATTTCGAGACCCTGGCAAAGGAATGCACGGATCGCCTTTGCTCTGCATCGCAATCGTGGTGAGTCCGCTAGTTAGTCACTAGGTTGTAGAGTGCAGGCATGCCCATGTGGTATTCTTCGTTTCGCCATCTTCTTGCCTCAGCCACCAGACAGGACCGGGACTCACCCGGGCGCATCGACTCGCCACGCTGCTACAAGGACTGTAGCAGTTCCAGCTCTGCTGCTCCAGAGCTTCCCGGAGCTTCCCTGAGACTGCAGGCGGCCTTCCGCTACTGGCACGACGTGTACAACCACGCCTTATCGGACAGGACCTTCATTTATTTGATCGTCACTGTGCCGCATACAATACAAATTCAGTCCAGCTCCAGGAGTACAGATCCTCCGCCAGCATACACGCCGTCGGACTTTGAATCAGACGATGGGCTTGCGAGACTGGCTTGCAGAGCTCTGCGGACACGAATTCTGATGATCCCACATCTTATCTTCATCTCAGGACACCGGAAGAAGTTCAGGCCGTTTTCCTGGACTTCCAATCCCGAAGCCGCAAGTTCGAGAAAGGCACAGGCGGCCGGACTGAAATTGGACAGAGCGGCCCAGGCTGCGATTCCGGTATACGCACGAAGGCAGGCGAGCACGCTGCGCCGAGGCGACATGGTGCTGGAGCTCTAGTCCGAAGAACCAAAGGGAAAAAGCACAGTACCAGTACCAGCATTCGACCGGTCTGTGTGTGTTTGTTGTTGTTGTTGTTGCTGCTGCTTGTGGTGCTGTGCGGTCGTGTGCGGTAAACGCGGTTTAGATCATGCTGTTCCGAAAGTTGCTACGGCTTGCAGCTTACATCTGTCTCAGAGTCAGCTGAGACCTTGACCCTCAAGCTCTCAGACTCAAAGCTAGTAGAAGTACTTTCCCTAAGCGAGTGTATGTTGAAGCTACTGGCCATTCTATTGGCCACTGGCGATGCCATGTCAATTTGAGTCCAAGTCCTGGGCTCCCTGATGCCGCGGCAACGGCCAAAGCCGCCACCGCCGCCCTCCCCCAGCGAGGAGGAGGAGCGCAACTGGGGCCATGCGCTGATCTGTGTGAGTTTCAACGCCTCTCATCCTGAGGATTCCGAGGAGCAGCTCTATGAAGAGGCAAAAGCAAGGGCTGTGCTACGTCTGCCATATGGCCCAACACAACACCTCGCCTTCCCTTGCAGGCCGAGGCGCTTCGGCTCAAGACACCTTCTCCAGAGCCTGAGGAGCCACCCAGAAAGAAGCGGCGCGAAAAGAACGCGCCAGTGATACCAGGCTTCTCTTTTTTACCGGATGCGGCTCGTCTTGTCCTCTCGTGCTTGTCGTCAGCGTTGACCCGCGAAGTGAAGCGTTGCGCAACATGGGAGGTAATGCAACATATGCAACATGCATGTTTCACATATCCTGTAGCCAGGGCGAGGTACGGTGCCATACCTCTCTTGCCTCTGCCGAACGGATGATTACGATGCACACTGTCTACAGAACAACGTGCAGTCAATGCATTGCTTTCATGCTTCAACCTCTTCAACCTGCAAGGGTCCCTCTTTGACATTGCGCAGGTAGATCTATCTCACCGGATGTCACCCAGCGGAAGTCCAAGAAGGCAGCACAAGTGTGTTTTATGCACACCTCTGTACAAGAGTCAAGGTTAGGAGTCATGGAGCATGCCGTCGCTCCACCATTGTCTTGCGCCCTCGTAGGAGAAGAAGCGAAGGAAGGAGGTAAAAGAAGGAAAGGAAGGCTCCGTGATTGTGCTCCGACATTGTCCTTTGCATGCACCTGCTACACCGTGGAAGAGTTCGTCGCAAAAGAGTTGAGTTCTTGCGTCCCCTTCTGGAGGCCGCAAGCAAAGATCGCCGCAGACTCAGAGTTTAGAGCCGCGGCAGGCCTTAGTTGACCCCATTGCCCATTGCCCTGCCCAGGGACAGACCACGGCGACGGGAGATGAGTCAGTCGCAAGCCAGCATGCCAGCAACTCAGACGTCAGAGGCTTGGTGGAATGCTTTCCTTCCGGGTGCAAGCCAGAGGCCTTGGCCGTATGCATGGCCAATGCCCATGCCGCACATGCCCATGCATGCGATGCCGGCGATGGCTGCACCGTCCAAGACCTCCGTGTTCAAACCAGGCAGGGAGGTTCTCGCAAATACGATGGCCGACAACCAGTTGCCGAACAGGCGCAGCGATGTCGCCACAGATCACCGCAGCTCCAACCATCCCGACATTGCACAGCGTGATGACAGGCTGACGGTGGGATGTGCCGTCTGATCAGGATCACGAGTTCTCCGAGCAAGTGCCAGAAGTGTTCAAGCCCTGAGAGTGATGAGCGAAACACCCTCCATTACAATGCTCCCCCGTTCTCAGTCCCTCCTCCAGGTGAGGTCCAGCTCTTGACGCCAAAGGGGGCGCTAGTCGTACTTAGCGACGACTCACCCCAGCGACGCTCAGATCGCATGCAGCGGGGATGCAGTCCTCCCATTGGTGGACAACTGTGCCGGTGACGAAGGTGATGTATCGTCGTGTTGTCGTAGGGTTAGCTTGGGCGGCAGCAGCAGAAGTACCACCACCGGCACCACCTGCCGCCCGCAGCACTGGGAGTACCTGAAGTCGCCGCAAAATTGGGGCAGCTCTTGGTGCGTCTGCAAGATCTCAAATGTTGTCAAACCCTTTCACCAGAAGTAAGACTTCAGATGCCCAAGGGTAATGCTCTGCGATGGTGCCTTAACTCCCCAATGCGGCTCGCTGGCTTAAGCAAGACCTGCTGCAGAGCACTTGGGACCTGGGGCACTTCGAGCTGTAGGCTGCCTCTACTGCTAATGTAGGGGCCTTGATAATTAGAATAGGCTATTTGGGGCTCCTTATTATGGTTAATCATAGTATAACATACCCCACAACCCCAGCTGACCCAGAGACTCCAATATCCTTTAATGAAGGAATATATTCCTTAAATCATATTTAGGCCTTCGGGATCCTACCATAAGTTCAGGTATATTCCTTAGTTAAGGGGTGCGGGAGCCTCTGGGGAATACTGACTACTGTACTACTCCCGCGCGCCCATGCACAATTCAGTCCGCAAGCATGAGGGGGTGTCGTGTCGCTGCTTCGTTGATAGGACGTAAACATCATAATATTACCATTCGTTCATGCGCACAGTCTTGGCCTGCGGTTGCAATAACACTTCCTCGCCAATGCATACTTGCATGGGTATTTGATTCTCAATCGCGATATGTTGTGTCCCGTTAATTGATACATGCATCTTGTGTAGCAGGCAACTGTGTGCAGCATACACATATGTGACATGAGTGTTATGGACATCGGACTCGTCGCATTTCACTCGCGAACGAGAAAGCTTAGGGCATTTTCAGGGCAGAACTTCGTAAGAAGAGGACCAATCAAACATGACTCAGGATACGTGGAGGGCCTCTTGCGGCGGCGAAGCGACGAGCGTCCCGCCATTCTCGGGGCCAAGTTGTATGTCAAGGCTAGGACCTGGGGTTTGGGGCTTCCACATCACGGGTGTATGAGAAAGAGTGCTACTTTACGACTCTTACGACTTACTACTACTGAGTGCTGCTGCTTCTACAAATCAGTCCGAGTAAGAGCGGGTGGGCAGACTCTAAAGGGGTGACGAGAGCGTGCAGCCATCTCATGTTCACGAGGTCGTGAGAATCGAGGCTGGCATGGTCATCGTGGACTCACGTGGTGTGGACCAGGATACAGGCAAGGATCAAGATCCCGAGCATGATCAAGCCGAAGTGGAGGCCTCTTGGCGCATAGCTCTGACACTCGACACTGTGGCTCGGCGGTGTCTCGTGAGACGACAGCGAGGAATGGATTGACGTCCCGGTGGATCTTGTAGGCCGCATCATTGGAAAGAAGGGGGAGCGAATCCGCCAAATTTGCGATGACACTGGAGCGGTCTGCATCCCGGTTGTGGTTCGGTTCCGCCAGTCTCGTCTATAGAAGTGCTATGAAGTGCTAATCGAGGACCTGCGCTTCGATGGGTCCGCGGAAGCTCAACACGGGCCAGGAGCTAACACCAAAAAGACCACAGGCTCGCAGCGGCTCCGTCATCAATCATCTCGTTTTGTGGTTCATGTGCAGCGCGAGGTTTCGAGTTGAGGGCCTTCGTTTTGTCGGATCTTCCATGCTGCGGCACATGAAATAAGCAGGCGGGGCTGGAGACGACATGCGAAAGTTTCTGGAAGCAGCGCAGGAGGAGCCCTGCAGCTCGAATCGGCCCAGAATGGCCCTGCAGAGGAAGCAACCACCGAGAAGCCTGATTCCTGATCCTTGCAGGAGGATGACGAGGATGTGGAAATGCAGGACGACACTCAGCACAACAACGAAACGGCTGATGTTTATGAAGTGAAGCACCTCTTTTTTCGGATGATGCATTGTGGCCGAAGTTCCAGCAATGTTGACGGTTCAGACACCAGAGCCCTGTCGACTGTGGTGCTGAGGGACAGCAGGAGCCAAAGGGTGGTGGTGATGATCTGCGTGCATTCCTTGAAGAGGCGAAGGCCATGGGGCAGTTTCGTGCCTATGAGTCGTCAGCGAGGGACTGGGATTCTTCAGGCTGGATCGGCCCCCGCCGCCAGCCGCGAGGAGGAAGAGCAGGAGGATGAGGACGAGGTGTGCAAGTGCGTGATGTTGGGGTGGTGCTGCATCGTAGAAAGCGCGGTGATGTCATGAGGCAGAAGACTTCGCCGAAGATCTCGCCGCATTTCTACAGGAGGCTGCATATGGTTGAGATACTAGCAGCAAGCTGATTCCATCTGCTCCACTTGCACGCAGAGACGATCCACGAATGCAAGCACTTTTTTGCTCTCCGGTCGAGGTCAAGAATGACAGCACCGGCTCAACCGATCCGACTCCAAAGGGGCGCAGGCAGTGTGCAGTCATTCTAGGCGCTCAAACATCCAAGAAGGAGTGATCTCGGTGTACTGCAGTCAGGGAGTCAGGTATCGTACGGGACCAAGACCAAGACTGTCGGTATTTGCGATGCCTGTGCACAGGTAGTCAAGTAGTGTCACTTTAATGTCAAGTGCATTGTGGATACATTGACATACGCGGGCCAGAAACTTTGTGCCGGCCGTGGAGTTCGTGGCATACAGCCTCGAGAATTGGGATGAGCGCCTCGGCGGTTTTTGATGCGGCTTCGCACGGGGTGCTCACGTGTAAGCCCCAGGCAACGTCACCCCACTCAGGATGCTGTACCGCAAGATGGGAGAGGCTGGCGTCACCCTGGTGTACCCAGAAAACCTCACCATCATTGACAAGGAGGCACGCACTTGGGTCCATCACCACATTGCGCTGGAAGCATACTGTCTGGAAGATCCTAGCTGTAAAAGTCACTAGCCGGTCACTAGCCAAATCCAGTATCTGCAGAGCAAACATCTGGATAGAGGCTTGGGCTTGGAATTGCGACAACCCAACTTGGTTTCGACACGTTTCTTGGGAAAGCACGCCAGGCTTCTCTGACATGCTTGGTAATAAATCGCTTCTGACGCGAACGAAGAAGCTTGGTCGGGGTGGTCCGGGGTGGTGAGGCTCGATGCAGGATATCCCTGTTGCAGGGGAATGCTGTGGAGATCGCCAAAGGCCTGCGACATCGCCACTTCCCTATTCGTGTCCGCTACATCCTCACATCCGACACTT